AAATGAGAGCTTCTTAAGTGGAGAGGAATCAGTCACCACGGGTATGTTTTAAACGTTCCCTGTGGGAAATGTTTGAATTAGATGGCAAAGGCAGCTTAAAGGTGCACAGCTTAGGTTCTTTGTGTGATTTGTTGCCGGGCTCCTGCACGTATAGCCATCGGCTTTAAAATTTCCTTTGGAAGAACTTGATATTCTCCTGAATTTCTAAAGTGAGATTTAATTTCTCCCCAGCTGAGGGTTTTTTAAAAACTGCAGTCATGAGCAAAGTCAAGGAGACACCCGTACCGAAGCAGAAAAAAAAGCCTCGGTTTATAGAAAATGAATCTTTCAATGAAAATGTTCTCAGAAAATTGAGGATTACAAATGGATGAGGCGACACAAATTCAGCATGCGTGGGATACATTTTGATCTTCAGATATAGAAAGAGAATGTGACTTTAAATAAAAAAATGGAGGGAAAACTTTAATCCACTAAAATAACTTTGCTGAGATTTTTTTCCTGGGGCCAATTAAATCCTGGGACGAATATGCTGCTCCTTTGTGAAAGAAATACTAACAAAAACAAATAATTTGGTCTGTACACATCATTAATATAAATTCCCATTTAGGAAGTCATTACTTAATGTTTCTGTTGTGGCAAACAATCACCTTCTGAATAATTATTCTCGGTAAAGCCGGTGCCTGTTATCAAAAAGTAGGACAGATAACAAAAGTCCAGCTTCTCCTGGGAGGAAAAGCCAAAACTTTGTGATCTTTAATGACACAAGCCGCAGTCTAGACATGAAACAGGAAACAGAATATTGAGAAGCCGTAGTCTTTAATGGTCACGGCCACTTTGATTCCCATGGTAGCAGTCAAGTCTTTTTCATGCTCTGTTTGCTGCCAGCCGCCCACCATGATTGCAGCCCACAGTAACGTCTCTGATGGTGCGATTCCTACGGTCAGTGACTGAACACGTTCAACCCCTGCTGTCCATGCTGTGTGTGCAGCGCGGGCAGAAGGATGGCAACTGAGGTGGAAAGGTTTTTAAAGAATGTGAGCATCCATGAGGCATTCATGACCTTCAACCATGATAGCCTTGTAATGTATCTAAACTCCAAATCCTTGCCTGGAAGATGAAGAAGTGTGGTCGCTCTCTGTGATGGATAGCTATTTCATATTCTATTTCATGCTGAGGAGCTCGGCAGTGGAGGGGAAAAAACTGTTGATGTCTTCTTTTTTCTTCTTCTCTTCGTTTCTGACCAAGAAACGAGAGGGAAGCGGCAAATTCTTACATTTTAGAAGCTAGAAACTCTTCTTAGCCTTGATTCTTCCACACAGCCTGAATTCTTTTAGCCAAGCTTTCTTGTCATTTAATAGATAATACTTCTCCAGGCTTCTACTGAAACCATTTCTGATGAGGCTTCAGTAAACAGGCTCAGATTTCTGTCAGGTAGTGTGTCAGGTGTTTGCACGATTTTTCCCTTTTTGTTAAGGAACCTGACTTTTAAATGCTGTTCATCGGATGTAGATAAGTTTGTATGGCTGCCACTTCTTTTGTCCTCCAATTATCCAGTTTCCTTAATTTTTTTAAGGACACAGTAAACACTGTATTGAGGTATGCTGAGTTTTTAGCTAATAGTTCTGTGGGACTCACCTTACTGGTTCAAAAATACAAGTTCATGCCTGTCAAACTGTGTTATCTTTGGTATTTTTTCCACATTCAACGAAAGAAATTGGGGGAAAAAATTATTTGTTCTTGCCCCTAAGCATACAGTTTAAAATCAGTACTTTGCTCAATTGTCTGTTGTGTGTAAACACAACACTGTTTCATCTCCCGAGTTATGTTTTTTTTTTTAATGATTTGCACTTCAGGGTTGAGTGTGTTAGCAAACAAACAAGGTCTGGACTGAAAATGAGGAAAACGGTTGCCAACATTCAAAGAACAATATGAAAGATCTTCACCTGGAAGTTGTTGCTCGGGTTTGGTGCTTGGAAGCAACATTTAAAGCAATCAAGGGTGGCTCAAGACTTTTGCACAACACTGTACAAAATCCAAAATGTCATATGTTATTGCAGCTTCCCTTTGTTGATCTATCATATTCCAGTCATTCATTTTCTCCCTCTTATCCAAATCAAAGTGGCGGGTGGGCTGGAGCATATTCCAGCTCTCATAGGGTAAAAGTCAGGGTACACAAAGAGACAGACAACCATTCACACCTACGGCTACTTTAAAATCACCAATTAACCTGACATGCATATCTTTAGACTGTGGGGGTGATGGGTGGGTCAGTCTGCATGCAGGCAAATTTGCCCAACACACCCCTGCTGCCCCATAATATACTCCATCACAATCATCTCTCGTGACTTCTCTGTTGACTTACGTACACTGATTTCTTGCAAATAATCCGAAGTCACTGTTGAGTCACTGTTTTTTTTAATGCTCGTCTTCATTGCCATAGCTTGACTCACCTTCATTGTTTAGAAATAACAAAGGACAGATATCCTGAAACCTTTTTTCCCCAAAAAGCTGCTTGGACTAAGCAAAAAAATCCGTTACCTACCAACACTCATGTGTGGATATTAGTGAGGCTGACAGGTACAGCTCTGCTTATGGAGCCAAACCACTGCTCCAAATGAGACAGACTACTAAGTTACTCTTAGTAAGAATGCATTCGTAGCAGACATTAAACTATCAGCAGTTGTGAAAATCCCTGAAGAGCACAGTGTTTCTCTCACAGTGGGTAAAATGCTCCTGAGGAAGTTGCACCTACCTGAGCTTTTGTTGTTGTCTCACACCTATTCACTAAGCCCTCCTATTGACTGTCATTGTATCCTAAAGAAATGATAATGGCCACTCTGTCTTTCTTCCAGAGTGGCGGGGATCTGTGAGAGAAGCCTTGTGTGCGTGCATGTGTGTGAGTGTGTGTGTGGTGCTGGGTGTCCACTTTCTCTCGTTCACTTCATGTGTTGCCAAACTGGAAACAAACAGGCATTGTGCTCCAGTTCTGCGGCGGTGGCCCTGAAGTTCCTGTTTATGGACCCATCACTTAATTGTGGCCTCACACAACTATGCCCATTATCTGCTGTTTCCCTGTGAATACTGTAGCCAGTGCGGCTTTGCTGAGGTCTAATGGAGGGCCTCTAACCTTCCAACATCTATATATGATTTGTTTGGGACAGTTTTTGAAGTAAAAATCAACAGATATGTAACAAGATTCCTTGCTTCACAGCGAGAGTTTGCATCATGGGCTGCTGACCTTTTCTTTCTGATTTCCCAAGTAAAATAATTGAAGCTACATGTGTCTGAATTTGCATGAGCTGCAGCCGTAGCAAAGTTCTCAGTGTGATGCAAATTTAGCGATGCAGACGCATCTGAAGTAATTCTTTGATTGCTTCGCATCCTCCTCTCCTTAGGGGTGCTATCTATATCTGAGGGTGTTGATTAGATAGCAGTCTCCACCCACATTTGCAATTCAAGGAATTGCTATTCTCACATTGCTATGCGCACCGCCGTGTGGTTGTTCCGCAGGGTGAAGACTGTAGTTAACTCATAAATGATCAATATGCCATACAAGCCTCTTTCACAGAGAGTGAGCTTTCTGAATGTCCCTCTGTGGAATAGAGACGGGGTGAAATGCATGGATGTACTTTTGATTTACAATTCCCATCTTGCCTGTCAGGGCTAAAGGATTAAAAACAGCTTTTTAAGCTTCGCACATAAACAGTTTCATACATTTTGTCACATTCTGGTACAGACGTCTTGTTGAAATATCAATTTTTACCACGTCTGGATTATCCATCCAGGGCCTTAACGCATCGGGCACTTATGTGTTTAATCTACTCTCTGCCAGCAATGTTCTCTGTCCTGTCCAGTGGAATCCTTTGAGATAACTGAGGGAACTGAGATCTGCAGCTAGTGATGACAGCCTGCGTGACCATGGGCCAAACACAAATTTGCAAGTAAACTGGAAATTTGTCAAGCTGCCCTTTGTTGGCCCCTATGTTTCATGTGTTAAGTACTCTGTTCAAATCAGCCATGCACTTTAAATCATGGCAACCACTTAGAGCCTGCTATCCCCACAGATCCCCACATAGCACCGGAAAGCATCTGACCCTGGACCTCAGTCTTAGTTTAGCCGCCCGTGCTAAACTAGCTGCACGCTCCCACAATAACAGTATTGACGTCACTGACCATCATTGGACACGTGCTGCCTTCAGGTGCTCATTTTAAGCTCAGATTTTGGATATTTGGAGAGCTGACATAGAATGGATAGAGATGGAAAGAAGAGACAAAATAAATAAATAGATAAATAAAACAGATAAAATGCAACCCAGTAGGCTTCATTAAACATCTAACAGTATTCATTTGATCCTAGTGCATGTGAGTTATGGTTATTTAAGCAACTGGCCTAATATGGATGTTTTCTGATACTTAAATATGGATGCATTTAAAATGTACGATGTGCCATGCATTCCGGCGCTTCTCATACATGAATGTGTTTACCTGCTATGGGGACTGATAAACTAATATTTCCTTTCCCTACACACAGCCTTACATTTGATTGGCACCCAGAACACTCGATTCAATATTTAAACTAAACTTTAACACATAACTATAAGTAATCTTCCCTGTAACAGCGCAGCATTTATTTTACTTCAGGTTTGGTACTTCTCCCCCAAATGTAAAAAAAAAAATAGACAGATGGTGTGACAGATGCGGTTTTCCTAATAGATAATATTGAATTTTGCTCTCATACGATAAAGTTAATTAAATACAGTTTTATTTAGGCTATCCTTCTTCGTTTAATATCGGGAATCCCAGCTTCCTTGATACATTTGATACGTACGAGTCTGTTTTGATACATTTAACATTACATTAGGTGAAACAATCTCAATACACGCCTCCTTTTTGTATTTACACTGTGACTAGGTGGTTGCTTAATACACAAACGGTGTCATCGGGCGCACACCCATGAGTAATATTTAGGACTGTGTGTATTTTGGTACATCCGGACAGGTCTGGGAATTCTTTCCGACAGTCCCTGAACGCCTCGAGCTGCAAAACTGCGAGAGAAGCGGTGATTGAAGAGGATAGCAGAGCGGCGGTGGCGACGACGACGGCCATCTTAGAGCTACCGTGGTAACCGACACACTCATCTCCTGGATTTAATTTTTCATGTGAGACAAACACTCCGCCTGACTGACGAAGGGAAGAGGAAGAAGAAGACGGCTGTTTTTAACTTCGCCGCGGTTGAACTCGAAGTCGGGATGCGGTTCCGAGGGAACAAGCAATTTGCATCCGCAGTCGGACTGGTCCTCGGACTATTATGTGCGGTGGAGGCAGCTAAAGGTAACTAAGCTGGGATTTAGATCCCGTTGTGTCTCGTGAGTGTCAGAGGCAGACAGTCTTTTATTTCATTTTATTGTTTGTTTGCGGCTGTCTGAAGCCACTTAGTCGCTCCAGGACGCTGAAGGTTACAAAGAGCGGTTAGCAGACAGGGGCTGTGCGGTCCTGAGGGGGGGATGCGTGTCCAGTAACCTGCTCCGGGATTGCCAGCCCCGGAGCCGCAGCGGATGGATGTGGCGAAGTATCCCGCCGGTGGACAAGTGCATCCCGCGATGCTTTGTCCAGTGCAGCCTGAAGCAGAGGGAAATTAGCCATTATGGTCCAACTGCACTTATTCCCTGTCCTGCTTAACATTGCCTCCTTAGTGCAAGAAGTGTGCCGCTTTATGAGATAATATCGAGGCTGTGAATGACCCCCTTCTGTCATCTGCATCGATTCTATTTTTGGCATCTAGTCACTTCTTTAAACTCCTTTTTTTTTTAATATCTTTGTGTTTTGTATTATTAGGATTAAAAATCCGCTTCAGCCGCTGCATGCTTTGTAATATTGCCCGTGGCTGGCACTCCCTGTACTAATCTTGTTTATAAATACGTTTGAGTACATCTGGATTAGGGCTAGTGGTGATATGTTTCTTTACCCCCAACCCACCCATTTTTTTTGTGTGTGTGTCTGTTTTATGGCCATGCTGTTAAAACCACGCAGGTTTATTTTTCCATTAGTGGGTTTAATACTTGGGGTTTGGCAACGTTGTGTTCGCACCAGGATCGAGTGGCTTGGTTGGCTGCGCATTGCAGATCCTCTTCACCCTGTCCCTGTTTCGTTGGTAGATTTAACAATTTTATGTGGTGTGATCACGGGCTTAAAGTGGGGGGAAAACACACACACGCTCAGTAGGTCTGGGCCTACTTTTGTGCAGAAACTATGCAAGACCCGAAAGTGCATCTGCCCTCTTCTTGTGCAACGTCACCGGTGGGCATTTGCTGCAGGGCGGTCCACCTCTCCTGCTCTACAGTGGCTCCAATCTGACCACCGTCGATGCGTGATTTACACATCGTGTTTCATCGTTGAACTCCCAATCGGCGCACTCCCTAGCGTGAGCTTCCTGTTTCAGGGTGTGTAGAGGCAGGTGCGACTTAATCACCGGCCATATCGGCATGCCCAGGCAGGGCTACAGAAGCCAGGGTGTGCTTTTGTCTTTGACAGTTATTGTGATGAGAATACAGGCGGTGAAATAGACACAGATTTTAAAAAATGTCTGCACAAATAAAGGGTGGGGTGGGGGGATTATTCTAGTCGTAATTCTCTTGTTTCCAGGTTAAGCAGCTGGGAATGCACCGCTTGTACAGCAGTAACTTCATTTCTTTTTCCATCTATCAAAAGAAAGAAAAGGCCTGTAGCACCTAGGCCTGGATAGTGTGGCTGCCTTTTAATGATCTACTAAAGAGCGTGCGTGAATGCATGCGTGCAAAGTGCACCTGCTACCTTTCCTGTGCTTATCAGCGGACAATACCTGTGAACTGGGCATCTTGATGTTGGCTTATCTTTTATTAACCAAAGATTACTTGCTTGTTTGTTTGCACTCTTCCCTACAGCTTTGTTTTCATTGCTTTTTTCCCTTCTCATTACCAGACATCTCGCAGCACATGAAGAAACCAGACAGTCCTTGGGTAGTGGTTCTTGTTCCCTTCTCTCGGTGTTAGCAAATATTAGCACTATGGAAACTGATTGAGCTGAAAAGCTTGGCACAAACAGGTGATTTGGCAAACTCTGACCCACAACTCAGACCGATAACACGGCCGTAAGACGTTAAGGATGTGTTGAAACGCTATCTTTTTGGCTCCACCTATGATCATATGATCCATCAGATTGCCGGTGAGGAAATTCTGGTGTGTGTACCACTAAAGTCAGGAGCTAAACAGACACATCACTTGTTTTTCCGAGGTCTCACCCGTGTAACTTATTTAGTTTTCTGTATACTGTGAGCAGCGGCTGTGTGTCTCCCATGCTCCAGAGTCAAAACATTAGGTCTGCTGGGATGCATGAGTTTGTTCTGTGCACACAGGGTCAGACAAAAGAGAGGCCGGCTTGTTGGGAAGTTCCTTCATTCATCATTGAATTAAGCAATTGTAGTTGAACAAATCGGATGCCCTGCTTTGTGGGGTGCAGAGTTAACATATGTGTCCTTCTCACATTGCTGGGGCTTTTTCAAGTCAGAGATCCCCCCCCCCCCCCCCACCGCTGCCCAAAGAAGCCCACCACCAATCAATAGTTACAGTTAAAACGATGTAAATAAACTATTTATTTAACAGCTCAGCTCTGAGGTGTCTTATGGCAACCTCATTAGAACATTCTTCAATGGTGTAATTAGCTCAATTAAGTAGTTATTACGTCAACATTTTGCTCAAATTACTAATAATTTCATTTGTAATCTAATCACTTATCTCGTGCTTTTTCATGGTTAAACAAAAGCTTCATTGCAAAAATGCTGCACTGATTGAAACTGCTTGCCAGGCTTATAAAAAGGCCCTCATTCCAGGGATCAGAGCATCCCAGACACCAAGTGATGGATGATTGCCATTTGTGACTTTGCTGACCTTGAAGGAAATATATACTCTTACATTTTCTACATGCTGCCGACTGTCTCAATGGAGCCCATTTCAAGCCTTCAAACTAGCAGCGATCCGGCTGACATATGTTATCTTGCCGTGTTATGGCAAGCAGAAACTATGTGGATGCACACAGCTGACAATGACTGCATTGTTTGCCTCTTCCATGCAGCTCGAGAACCACTGTGGCATGCTGTTATTCAGAGTCAGTCCAGAGACTTGTTTTTCCTTAGAAAGTATGCCAGTAAGTATGGGGTTGGGACAAAATATTGATAAAGTCATATCTCGCTGTTTGCTCTCGAGATGCAATTATCGGGTGAAAATGTCGATCTTTTAATAAAACGTGCAGCAGCGGCTCTAAACAGTTTCCCCTGATAGTTTGTCTTAGTAGAGTCACCGCTTTATGACTCCTCCTCGTGGTGCTTATCAAATGATTGATGGTAAACTGAACCGAGGCTGCAGTGAAAAAGAAATTTAAGGGGGAAAAAAGACAAATCGCACATTTAATTTCACACATTCTTGAAACTGAATGCAAATTATAATAAATATGCACAGACCACACTGCAGTGAGTTAATGCATCACTCTTGCTTTTTGCTTTGTTTTTTGTCTTTATTATGCAAATATTGTGATGTATTGTAGGCAGTTGAGTCTCAGAGTTGCTCATTGAGGCGTTATCATGGTCTTAGCATACAGTGATATTAGTTAGATGGCATGGCAGCAGCTTAAGATCCAAAAGTGTGATGTAGCGCTGAAATTAAAACTGAGCTCTCACTTAATTAGCTGATACGTGTGTTGCATAAAAGATGGGTTGCTTTAACATTATTTTAAGTTGTTGAAGAAGGAAGCATCTAGAAAGAACTCACAGGAGGGGGGAACACACGTAGCTTTCCTGAAACATGATAAAAATATGAAACGCATATCCCTTTTTTTCTTTAAACTGTTTGAATAACAAAAATACAAACCTGATTGTGACTCGCTCTGTCATTTATTCTTAATTTCCCATTCACCCATTAATCCTTTCATCAGAAAAGCATGTTTGAACTAGGTGTGAACAGCTCCACAGGGCTACAGGAAGGTGGATGCTTTCAGTGCAATTACTGCCTTGTTTTCAGAAACTTTGCGCACTTAATGTTTCTTTGTTATACTGGTGCACCACTCGCTGCGAAAATGTTTTGGGTGCATGCCATGAAAAACTGATTACATATTTAGATTGTGTAAAGGTAGTTAGATTTAAATACATCATGCCCACCACACATTGGAAGTTTTCTGCTTATCGAGTTCAGGTATTTAGTTAAAGGTAGCCATGTTTGCAAGGATTAAAAGCCTCAATGATTAAAATGCTTCATGCAAACCCACCAATTAGAAGATCCTGCCTTTGTTGAAGCTAGTGGTAGAGACGGGGCGAAACAAAACTGGTCTGTATCTGACAAACCTTTTATTGGAAATCAGAGCCATTACTACTTCGACTATTTCTGGAAAGTTAGACAATTGTGTGCATGCGAAAATTCCTTTTTGTTTTGTTTTTTGTTCAAATGGTTCATGTGTATGCTCTTCATCGGCTAGCCTCATGTAGGATCCGTGTAAAGAGTGAAGCTCTAATATGAATTTTAATCAGATTGAAGAAATTTTGCACATTTAACACGGCTAGTGGGCAAGAGGTTGGGTGCACCCTGGTCAGGTCGGTTAGCAGTTTGTGGCATTCCTACAGCCAATTTAGAATCAGCATTTAAAGTAACAAACATGTCTTTGGACTGTGGTGAGGAAACCAGAGGATATATCTTGGATATAAATGGGTACAATGTGACGATCCTGGAAAAAAAGAAAGAAAGAAAACGGTACTTTGTTCTTCTTGGCACAGAATTTAAGGGTCACACATTTTATTGTGAATGGCTACAGGGTGATATAATTAAACCTAGTCGTCTGGGTCATGGCCTACACCAGATTTCATTAAAAATGTATTCACTGAGATCAACGAACATCATGTCCAAGCTGGATTTAATATTGAATGTTTCTTCTGTGGAGACTCACAAGAAGCATTACAAAAAAGTTGCCCTCTTTTGGCCTGAATAACAGTTTGCTTGCCCTGAAGGGAAGCTCCAGTCACACTCGTTACCTCTTAACATTTTTCAGTATTTATTCAGAGATTTCTCAGAGGAACAAAGGGCTTTTATTGGCTAGATGTTTGGGGGGGGGGGTCGGGATCTCGACTGATCACGTCACAGTGCGGTCACTGTTCATGGAGTTGCGCCTCAAGCCCCTGAAGAATGTGTGTATGAGTTAATCCCCCGAGAGTGCTAAGCATTTCCATTTGGTAGTTTGCCACTTAGGCCACGACAATACTGGACTCAATTTGTGTCTGTGATGACTTTCCTCTCATTGGTGCCTTCAGGAGCTGA